GTTGTAAGCGAATATCTGCTCATATGTTTTTTTATACCAGCTTCTGTCAATGTTTCTGGAGTTTGCTGTGAGTCAAATATCTTCAACACATTTGGTATAGTGAGGAACGTCTGAAGGGAATTTGGAAATGTGGCATAGCTTGTACTCATGCGTATCTGTAGGGTTGGTTTGTGCCACAGGTCAGTGTATCACACTAAGAAGCAATTCGATCGAGTTTTATGACTTGAAAGGTTTGTTGCGTATGAAGTAGCCGCCATTACGTGTGGGGTAGACTGTAGTCTTCCGTAATTTAAATGCGGTGCTGTCTGCGTAAATTCGTTGATTTTGTACTGTTGTAGAAGAGAACGAGGTTGTTCCTTAAGCATCTGAGTCAAAGAGGATCAAATTGGTGTCATTGACAGTGATCATAATAACTCAGGTTTGAGCAGCGCCCCATGACCAGCTTGTTAAATGATCGCTGGACATTTTCCAGAGCCGTTATGTTTTTCTTTCTCAATTGGCTGTGAACGATAGTACAGTATTCCAGAGTCGGTCGTACTATTGTCTTGAATGACTCAAGTCGTGCTTCAGGTAGGGAGAAAGTTCTGGTGATATATCCGCATAACTGCCTTGCTTTCGCAACCTGATAAAGCACATGTTCGGAGAAATTGAAAGAGTCCGAGTACCTAATTCCTAAGTCCAGAACTGAATCAGACGTTGGGATCACGTTTCCGGCAGGTATGATAGAGCCCTCTGGGATGCGGCATCTGTACCCAAGTACTTGGGATTTCACTGCGGAGAACTTCATTAATAAACGCTCACTAGCTATACTTAGTGCGGATAGGTCTTCACAGATGTTTCCCAAGCATATTTGTAGTTGGTCTGGATGAAATGAGTAGACCAATTTGACGTCATCTGCAAACAGAAATGAGTGTCCGTGTTTGGTCGGGTCACATGGGATGTTTACGTAGAATAGAAAAAGTAATGATCCGAGCACATTTCCCTGGAAGACGCCGCTGGTTATTTGTTCCGGTGTAAAATATTGCTGACCGATTCTAACTATCTGAGTTCGACCGTTTAGGTATGAGTCGAACCAGTTAATCAGGAGATTTCCAATTTCATATGACTCTAGAGCAGACAGCAGTGGCTTGTGCGACAAGCGGTCGAACGCCTTTTGCATGTCCAACAGAATTATACTAATTGCCATTCCTCTGTCAATCATAGTCGTGACGTGATCGAGGAATTCTAACTGGCGGGTAACGCATGAGCGTTTTGAGAGAAAGCCATGCTGTGATGTGTTGATCCGATCCAGTCTTGTAACATATTGAACGATGTTCTTCTTGACTATTCCCTCTAAAGCTTTGGAAGCAGCAGAGGTGTGATTTATTGGGTGGTAGCTTAACAAGTTATTTCTCGGGCGTCGCTTGTGCTTAGGCATTATAATGGATTGCTTCCATTGAGGTGGAAAGAACCCGGTAGTTAGAGAAAGTGTGAAGATGTTTAATAAGAGTAGAGCGAGGTTTTTTTTCGAGTTTTATAACAGTTGGGGAGATGCCATCTGGGCCTGGACGAGTTGATGGTTTTATGGCTGCGATGGCACTTTGCACCTCTCTTAACGTCACAGAGATACTACAGTGTTGTTCGTTCGTTCTTTTTGGAAGTGGAGGATGAAAGGGTTGAGTGTTGTGGACAAAACAGGAGGCAAAACTAGGGTTCATAGCCTCGCATATACAGGAGATGTCACGCGTTATTGAGCCATCGTCTAGAGCCAACGTTTCAACTTGCTGATGGGGTTTAGGATTCCTTCTTTTGAGTAGTTGCATCAATATGCCTACTTTCGCAGGATTTCTAAGCACCCGAGTTTCTTCTTTGCTTTTGGCCGTTTGGCTTAGACGTTCTAAATGTGGTAAATTTTCGTGTATTTTTTAGCAATATTCCGAAGCTGTTGCTCCTGCTATTTAGCGATTTGGGTTCCTTTAGTTTTTTTTTGTCTTTGTACAGATGCTTGAGTTCACCACGATGTTCATTGGTGTTTCTTCTACAGTGGGTGCCAGTTGATCCACACCAATTGCAAGATTGTTAATAAACGAATTTGTAGTCACAGTAGGGTTGTGAGTTAGGAATGACCTATTCTAATTCATGGTACTGATAAGTTGGTTAACTGAGTTGCAGTCCACATGATGGAGGTTGCGTATGAGTTTTAGCATTTTACTTTCTCGTTTAGTTGTATCTATAGTCATCTCCCAAAGCACCGTGTTATGATCACAGCCAAGTAGTGGATTATCAATGAATATATTATCTTAAAACATTCCCATCGTGAATACAAGGTCTTTTGTAGTGGCACTTCTGGTTGGCGCTCTAACATGCTGGACCAGCCACTGAGGTGAATACATGAGATGGTTTCTTCAATTCTCGCAGTTTTTCTGAGTGTGGGCGGCATCCAGTTAACATGTGGTAGGTTGAAATCTCCTCACATAATTTTGGATTTGTATGTGGTACTGGAAGCAGCATTGATCATGTCGGCTAGCTTTTGGGTTGCACATTGAGTAGTTCAGGGCAGCCGGTAGATCCAGCCCACTAGAATATCAATAGATGGGATCACTAGCCATAGTGTATCTTCTATGTCATTTAGCACAGGTTGATCTGCGGGAATTGCAGTCAGGTTATTTCGAAGATATATGTTTCGTTCAGAGGCAATACTAATCTGGAGCCTGAATGTGTCACTGGTATTTTGCACCTTTGAGCGATCACATATTTTGCGCTCGATACATTAGGGACTGCTCGGACAAGCGCTGGAAATTCGGCACAGATAACCGGCTACCGGCTGTGTCAGAATACGATCCAATGTTAACTATTTCCGACAAAATATCTGTTAAGGGGGTGTTGAGGTTCAAACACCTCATCCTAGGTTGACTAGCTGCAGTCAGGCGTACTGTTGGTGACCACTAACGCTGACACTCTCATCCCTGTCTGTGTTCTGTTAACCCCAAGGTGTAAAGCTATTCGGGGCATACCTGTCCCCCACGGCTGCATACATCTAGCCCTGTGCTTACATCCAGGGAGTCCCATTGGCTAATGTTCCATGATCAATGGGAGTGTTATTGATAGTACGTACGTGTAACCCCTCAGAAAGAGAAGGAATTGATGCGCGCTTGAACTTGTGTGAACGACACGTTATTTTGCTATTTTTCACTGGCTAAATTATTAGCACTATGCGTATAGTTGCCTGTAACAAGGTATAGTTTTTACTCACATGCAAACGCGGAACGTGATTCCTGCCTTGTCGACAAACCCATGTCCAACTAAGTGGTCAAGCCCAGCGATTGGCTTCCATTTGGAGCTCTCGATCCTCCTTCAAATTGGCATGTCTCGACGTACACACATTAATAGAGATCGTTCACCAGGCTGCCATTGGCGTAATACTAGAGACTCTCAATCGATTTCTGCTGCCTATCGGGAACCCACCTGCTGTTATTCGAGCTCTTTGTTCGTTTTGCGATCTTCTTTAAGTGACAACAGAAGTGTTATCTCGTTGCGCCCATCCGGAAGCAATTCAGTTTCGGGTCCCGGCTAATCCAGTGCTATTATTACCCTGATTTCCCGGGCTTAAGCTTCTCTGGTTGATTAGATCTCACTCAATAGCTGGATGTGTCCGGTCCGACTGGCTGGCTTTATTAAAGCTTCGAAGTCATGCGAGATTAATAGGTGTCTATTCGTCCTCTCTGTCTACGCGCACGCAAACTAGCGATTTTTCGATAATAGACGACTTCTACCGCTACTTGACTGAGCTCCTTCGCCACAAAAGGACACGGACACTGTACTGCTGGCTGGGTATCTGAACGCCCAAGTTGGAAACTTCTCCACTGATGAACTTCATCTGGGCGGCCAACATGGTGTATTCACCTGTAATGATTACGGCGAGCGGTTATTTCATTTGTGTGAAGATGTTCGCTTATTTCTGGCGAGCACGAACTTCCGACACAGCACCCGCCGGAGGGTGACCTGGCGCCCACCAGTCTCCGACCAACCGTGGACGCAGCTCGATCACATTGCCATCAGTTACCGCTGGAGACGCTGCGTCCATTACTGTCGCTCGATTTGGAGCACATGTGTGGACACTGATCATGCACTTGTATGTACTGATCTGCAGATGCTTTTTGGCGGGCGCCCACGACGACCATGTGAGCATGTTGCTACCAACCAACTGGCGAAACCAGCTGTTCTGTATGCGTATTGAAGTGCGCTGACCTTCGGATTGAGTAAGCGCTCAGTGAATGCAGTTGAAGGTCACTGGTCGCATGTTCATCAGATTTTATTAGCAGCAGGTAAATCCTCTTGTGGTAAGTTTGATAGCCAACATGGACATTAGGTTTTTTTCGCAGTCTGGAACTTACGCATTCTCGCCGGCACATTCCGGCTGGAAGCAAACACAACGAGGCTCGCAAAAATCGAGCAAAACTCCGTGCTAGCCTGAAGAGAGACCGCGAATCCTGGTGGTCTCATCGTGCGTCAGAGATGGAAGCGGCCACTGCCCTTGGTAACCATCGTAAGTTTTTCTGCCTGATACAAATAACGGGCAGCAGGAGTCCTGGTGTTAGTGAAACTATACGTGACGAGAGTGGGCAGCCTATCCACAACTTGTCAAAACGCTTGGAGCGTCGGGCTGAGCATTTTAAGAAGCAATTTAATCGATCTAAATTCTCGGCTTTCTCGCCGGCCACTGCTCGCCCTGCTCCCTGGGCTGTTTCTTTGGATCCACCCACTCGTTTACTAGTCGAAAGTTAGGTCGGACTACTAATGTTGAACAAAGCCGCGGGACTAGGTTTTTTCCTTCATCCCTCTTCAAATTTGGGGCCTGCTCTTGCAAATGTTTTACATGAGTTACTAGTGAAACTATGGAAACAGGAAACTGTCCTGTTAGATTGGAGCCACTCAGTTTTAGTCCCAAATTTCAATGGTGGCTCACGGTCGGAATGCGGCTACCAAGGAGGAATCAGTCTGATCTCCATCATCTCTGAATTGCTTGCCTGTGTCATCCTTCACAAATTGATCGGCACTCGTGATAGAGCTATCCGGGTTTCGTCGAGTACGAAGCCGCGTCGACCACAACTTCACTGCGACAACTGTTGGATCACCGTCATATATATTGCCAGTCCACTGTTGTCATGTCCCTCGATATCAAAGGTGCCTTCGATTCGATTGATCGGTGCGCCCTTTTAGAATGACTGCTAAGGGAACTTGTGCCCGAGAAATATATAAATTTTATGCAAATTCTTTACTTACGTAGCTCTGGCAGAGTGCGGGCTTACGGCAAGCTGTCGCCACCCTCCAGTGGTGTGAGACAAGAATGCCTCTTGTCACCTTTCCTCTTCAATTTCGCTACTGACGAAGTCAAGGCGATCACGTTCACAAGACACGACTTAGAATGCGTGGAGCTGCTCCCAGGTGAACAACTTCTTGACTTGGAGCATGCTGATGACATTGATCTCATCTGTGACAGCTCCTAAACGTGCCATGCTGCACTGGTTAGGTTAGCACTGGCTGTCAACCGTTTCGGACTTTGGCGTGCACGCTCGAATTTCAAAGCTTTCCTTCAAGATTGGTAGAGACCGTTTCCTACGCTGACCGTTGGTGGGGGTCAGGTGGAAGTCGTTCAAAAATTCGACTATCTGGGTAGTTATACTATTGTTAAGTAGCAGGATTTTAGTTGTTATTTCGTTAAGGTTTTTATCTCAGTTGTTCACAAGCTACATAGTTGTATCAGCGCCTGTGGAATCGAAGACGATGTCACGAACCGTATTGCAAAAGCTCGAGGCGCTTTTGCTAAACTTCGCCACCTATGACGCCGGCGCGACATTCTCTCTTTCTCTTTGAACGGTAGTGTGTACATTGCAGCCGTGCGTTCAACTTTCCTTTACTTTTGTAAAACCTGGCCCATCAGATCAGCGAATATGAGGAGGCTAATTAGATTCGACCACCGATGCATCCGCAGCTTGGCTCACATCTGGTGCGAACACCAGGTGAGCGACGAGCGTGTTCGACGCTCAGCACAGTTATTTCACTCGCCAGACTCCGATGGCTCGGCCACGTGTTGCGCATGCCAGCCCACCGGCTCCCGGGACGTGCGTTTGTTTCGCGCCGGGCATGTGGATGAAAGAAGAGGAGGGGTGGTCTCGCGATGACTTGGTCGAGAGCAATGACCTCGGTTAGATCCTGTCCGCTCCCTGGTTGAGGTCATAAAGGCGATGAACACCTTTGTCTTGATACCGTTGCTGATATGGCTAGGAGCCTACTTCATTGGCGTTCGTGTTGTTAATTTCTTTGCCCCTCCCCCTCTCGTTTAGCCACCCACTTTAACCGCGATCTCATTCTTTAGCGTAATACAAATTTTGCATAATAATTTTTTGCTGTGTAGTAGCCGGTTGATAGCTTTCCGGAACAATGCTTATCCGTTGCTGGTAGCTCAGCTAGTGTGCACTTGTTGTATGTTTACTTATGTATTGCGGCTCAGTAGCTGAAGTGTTTTCCACCTCTAGCTAAGGTGTATAATACATGTAATGTATGCATGCTTTGAGCGCTCAAACGTAGCTTCTGTACTTTATCTGAAGAGGTCGCCACTCTCCTCGTTTTTTCCATGATAAGACCGGTACTGGAGTACGGCTGACCCGCCTACGAACGGGTCCAACACGTCGCTACCAAGATCACTCCGAGTTTACGATGATTACCGTTTTAATGGTCGATGCGAAAAACTAGGACCCTACATCTTGTCCAATCGTCGGGTGCGAGTCGATCTCGTTGTGACATACCGATTATTACATTTTGGCGAATTCCCTATGCAAGAGTGTGGTGACAAATGTAATGCGAGTTAGCTATCCATTGTGCTTTGAACGAAGAGTGGTTGGTGTTTGATCAGTCTGCCATGATATGTCGTGGAGGCCAAATCTGTGCAGCAGTTCAAAACCTTGTTAGATTTACCTTTTACCATCATCAGATTTGGAGAGCGATTGCACACTAGCAGTGATATCTTACATTTGTGGGTCCAGTGGAACTGTAAGTCAGACATTTCTAAATGTTGCATAAGAACATGGAGAACGATTAGCTTGTCACAGGTTACAGACACATTTTATAACATTTTTGGTTATACTCCGATGGAGTTGTACAGATTTAACTTCTGCTTGGTCCCACAATTCAGTACTCAAGTTTATCATTTTTTCTACCTGTCGCGCACCGAGCAATTGTATTCATGTTGGGGGTTCCGCCATCGGTTGTGTATTGGCATTGTTTAGGTAGGCTAACTCGTAGAACCTTAATTTACATGTGGATGTCATGCTGTATGTCTCCTAACTTTTTTTGATTCTATGCGCGTATCTTTACCAACTGTGACGTTTTTACTGTATTAGACCTTCGTTAACCACAATGTCTGCGCCTAGCTATCCCTCGCTATCTCCTTAATCTTTTCTTTCTGGCAGCTGATTTGACTATTTTCGTTTTGAAATCACAGGTGTTATCGAATTCAGCCTTTTGATGGAGGGTTCTTATTTACACGAAGGCACATCTGTGAGAGCAGTCAACGAATTCGAGGTCGCATTGTCCTACCTTGATGAGTGAGTTTCCTAACCTTTTACTCACTTCTCTGGAGTTGAAACCGCCGTCGATCACCGATTGACTTTGGAGGTGTTTGGCAGCCCGTGCCATCAGTACTCGGCCGAACAAACCTTAAATTAACGGCTGGGTTATGATATATCGGAATGGCTTTCAAATTTTTTAACATGGTAATGGTCATTACGTCATCTGTTTACGGGGTCATCCCTCACTTTAGTTGCGAATACTCTAAAAACTCGTTTGACACTTGCAATGGAATCATGGGCGGCTAGCGTTTCTCTGCCTACAGGTCCACTCGTACGGCCTAAATACGCGGTAAAGGCAGGAGTACATTGCTATGATGCATCGACTGTTAGTCTCGATGGTTTTGCGGATTGGTTGCTCCACATCGGCGCTTAATTCACGTACAGGTGCGTGATCATGCATTTCCGTAGTCCTAACTCCTAATGACACCTTGTGACTGTCAGTGCGACTATGGGGATGGGTATACTTTGTATGCTTGGAATGAAAGTCTATTGGACATCCACTGGTATACCATTCAAAGGAGCGTACACACCAGCCAAACAGCAGTGATTTGGCCGTGAGCTGTCCCGTGATGCAACGGCTGTTTGGACCTCATTGTTAGCAGTACCTTACAGCCACTAATTGACGTGGCACATCGGACCGATAGGGCTGAAGATGCGTCATGTACAACCGTATCGAACATGCACTGGAAGAAATGTCAAGCGTTAACTCTTACAAATACTGTCTACTTGCAAAAGCGTTGAAAGCGTTCGCCTCTTTTCACTCTTATCGCCACTGCTCACACTATATGCTGACTATCTGAGCGATATCCTTTTGAGCAGCCACCCCACTATTGTCTTATTGATCCAGTTGCTTTGGTGAGATCGTGCCAGCAAACAATGTGGAAATGTCTCCCACATTGCTTCCTACCAACGTCGCACTCCATGGTCATTTTCCTTTGTCTGAATGCCTTAAACCTTGTTGCCGGGGGCAATAATCGGATTCTAGACTGCGTTGCTTTTCTGTGGTCGTCTCACGGTTAGACAGCTAGCAAGTAGATCATGACCTATGCCATGACTGTGTGCCACGACTCAAACCCTTTGCAAATGCCGTAAAATATTTTCAACCTCTGTCGCAGGTATTGCTCTCGGTTCCCGTTTGCTTTATCGGCGTACACAGCCTCGTTCCACTCGTTTTTGTACGTTTGCTGGTGTTCCTTATGGTTCAAGCTTATCGTTATCGTTAAGGCCTATGTTTTAAACCCCTATTCCAATTGGACGAGATCCAACTATATTGGCCACATTGCTTGACTCTATTAGCCAATCGTGATCCATACATTCAGGCGCGTCCTTTACTCGTATTCTGGTCTAACATGTCGGCCCGTGTTTAACTTATCACTCATCTTTCGCTCATTTCACACGTCCTCTATTCTTCCCAACTCTTCCAATTTGTTCCCGCTAGAGTCTTCCATGTATGCTCGAATACTCCTCAAACGCCCATTTGGGTCTATCATTATACCGCGATTGCATTCAGTCATCTCTCCGTCATCGACGAGTTTCACCTAAGGTTTGTTTAGATCACAAATGAGTTTTCCTCCGTGGTCATTTTTGTTTGCACTGCTATCCTCGTTTCCGTGCGACTTCAATTTTGTAAAAATGTGCTTTTCATCCATATTGTTACCAACAAATGTCGTACTCTTGTTCATGTGTCTATTATTGGCATCATCAACGACGCCATTACAACAACATGTACTACATATTTCTGTCAACATTGCGCGATTTTCGTTGCTATCTACCTTTTCTACTTGAATAGGCTGATGATACCCTGAGTTATCTACACCCATAGTTCTAATTCTTCGACTTTTGTATCCTAAATTTTCGATGAAAATATCAGTTTTTTTTCTCAACACCTTGCCGGGGCCTCATTAGTATTCTGCCCATGTCTCATGGTTCTTAAATCTGTTGCCAGTTACTCTTTTCAGCGAACAACTTTTAACTACTTATCATAGCCTGAATTGGAACCAATTGTCTCAGTCCCAGCCTTCTGTTTTTCTCCTTTCTTTTCTCGCTGTTACTCGGTGTCTGACTCCAATGTAGATTTCGTGCTCCACTTCGGTGATATTTGTGTTCATCACTACCCGCCATCCATTTTACCTAACGGTAGCATTAGCTACATTGTGCGAATGATCTACTCCTTCGCATCACCCTATTGCGCTGTTTCTTAATGAGGATACCCTGGGCACTTGAACACACGTAGTGAATAGAAAACGACTTTACGAACCAGAAAATCATGCTTATTATTAACGTAGCTAAGTTGCCATGTGTGTATGGGGACACTGCGGAGTACATTCTGACTATGATGGCTTTACGATGCAACCATTTCTCAATCAGGCGATACGATTTAGTCATCCCGATGCCTAACCGGACATCCACGCTTTTGTTGCTAGAACACCGTGAATTCTTTCGATCATCACTCTCTTCATGGCAGAATGCTTCGCTCACCCTCATAATTCAGCTCACTTTGTACAGGTGATGCAGCATTCCAGTCGCGAATACTACTAGTTATCCGAATTACATATGCATTCTAACCATCCTTCAACATCATTCTATTACGAGACAGTGTCCAAATCCAAGGTGTAGCGTGACCAATCCCCGGTAAAACTTTCGTCGTACGCCTGAACCATCGCATATATATATATATATATATATATATATATATATTTACCGACGGACGGTACACGGCCCCATAAGTGAGAGCGATCATTTGTATAGTGAATAGGTTTCATGGTCTTTGCGGCGTAAATCATAATAGTATAGAAAACTTTATTAGTAGAATTTTAGATCATGCTTTTTTTCCTCGGGTTATAAACCCGTGCACCTAATATGTAAAATTTACAGATGTTTGTATCATCAGGAGTGGATAATAAAAAGGAGGGGACACTGGGCTGCACAGACACAGGATTTGGTCTTGTAGGTAATGACATGTAGTGGGTAAGCTAGTTGTAAGCGAATATCTGCTCATATGTTTTTTATACCAGCTTCTGTCAATGTTTCTGGAGTTTGCTGTGAGTCAAATATCTTCAACACATTTGGTATAGTGAGGAACGTCTGAAGGGAATTTGGAAATGTGGCATAGCTTGTACTCATGCGTATCTGTAGGGTTGGTTTGTGCCACAGGTCAGTGTATCACACTAAGCAGCAATTCGATCGAGTTTTATGACTTGAAAGGTTTGTTGCGTATGAAGTAGCCGCCATTACGTGTGGGGTAGACTGTAGTCTTCCGTAATTTAAATGCGGTGCTGTCTGCGTAAATTCGTTGATTTTGTACTGTTGTAGAAGAGAACGAGGTTGTTCCTTAAGCATCTGAGTCAAAGAGGATCAAATTGGTGTCATTGACAGTGATCATAATAACTCAGGTTTGAGCAGCGCCCCATGACCAGCTTGTTAAATGATCGCTGGACATTTTCCAGAGCCGTTATGTTTTTCTTTCTCAATTGGCTGTGAACGATAGTACAGTATTCCAGAGTCGGTCGTACTATTGTCTTGAATGACTCAAGTCGTGCTTCAGGTAGGGAGAAAGTTCTGGTGATATATCCACATAACTGCCTTGCTTTCGCAACCTGATAAAGCACATGTTCGGAGAAATTGAAAGAGTCCGAGTACCTAATTCCTAAGTCCAGAACTGAATCAGACGTTGGGATCACGTTTCCGGCAGGTACCCAAGTACTTGGGATTTCACTGCGGAGAACTTCATTAATAAAAGCTCACTAGCTATACTTAGTGCGGATAGGTCTTCACAGATGTTTCCCAAGCATATTTGTAGTTGGTCTGGATGAAATGAGTAGACCAATTTGACGTCATCTGCAAACAGAGATGAGTGTCCGTGTTTGGTCGGGTCACATGGGATGTTTACGTAGAATAGAAAAAGTAATGATCCGAGCACATTTCCCTGGAAGACGCCGCTGGTTATTTGTTCCGGTGTAAAATATTGCTGACCGATTCTAACTATCTGAGTTCGACCGTTTAGGTATGAGTCGAACCAGTTAATCAGGAGATTTCCAATTTCATATGACTCTAGAGCAGACAGCAGTGGCGTGTGCGACAAGCGGTCGAACGCCTTTTGCATGTCCAACAGAATTATACTAATTGCCATTCCTCTGTCAATCATAGTCGTGACATGATTGGGGAACTCTAACTGGCAGGTAACGCATGAGCGTTTTGAGAGAAAGCCATGCTGTGATGTGTTGATCCGATCCAGTCTTGTAACATATTGAACGATGTTCTTCTTGACTATTCCCTCTAAAGCTTTGGAAGCAGCAGAGGTGTGATTTATTGGGTGGTAGCTTAACAAGTTATTTCTCGGGCGTCGCTTGTGCTTAGGCATTATAATGGATTGCTTCCATTGAGGTGGAAAGAGCCCGGTAGTTAGAGAAAGTGTGAAGATGTTTAATAAGAGTAGAGCGAGGTTTTTTTCGAGTTTTATAACAGTTGGGGAGATGCCATCTGGGCCTGGACGAGTTGGTGGTTTTATATCTGCGATGGCACTTTGCACCTCTCTTAACGTCACAGAGATACTACAGTGTTGTTCGTTCGTTCTTTTTGGAAGTGGAGGATGAAAGGGTTGAGTGTTGTGGACAAAACAGGAGGCAAAACTAGGGTTCATAGCCTCGCATATACAGGAGATGTCACGCGTTATTGAGCCAATGTTTCAACTTGCTGATGGGGTTTAGGATTCCTTATTCTGAGTAGTTGCATGTATGCACATATATATATATATATATATATATATATATATATATATATATATATATTATATGCCCCATGCTGAGGCTGATGTTGCATTCTTGATGCTTCTTCACCGCAGTTGGGCTAAACCAACTTACACTTAAACTAGGTCTTTTTAAGCTGGATAAATTTCATTCCGCTTTATTTGGTTTGTTCTGTCTCCCTGAATAATGTTCTATTAACTGGCCACGTTGCTTACACTAATTGCGCTTATCTTCGGTAATTTTGTTGCGTTTGTAGCATTTTAAGTAACTTGTGGACATTTCTTACTTATCACGGATTTGTTGCTAACCAACTTACTTCATATGATAATTTAGCGAAGAGTTATGCCACCGTATCTGTATGCATTATTGGATTTATTTTATTTCAGCTTGTCGTTTAAAGTGAACGGCTGTTGTTTGATATCCCTTGTATGGTTTCGCTTGATGTGTATGTTGACAAGGTGCCTACCTGTCTATTACCCACTACATCATTCATACTGGCTCCAGGAGACAGTTGGTCGTTGCTGGAGGGGACGGGGTGCACGGTTCTTGTGGCCGTGCTAGGCTCAAAGAGCGGTTCCATGCACTCAGTGTGGAGCGGACTACGGTCCAGCCACCGCCTTGTGTGCGGTTGATTCCCCAAATACAGCGTGCTTGTGTTTGCCTGTGAAGGAGTGTGGGCCGGCTCCGTTGATGAAACGTGGTTCCCATCCGCATGCGTCCCGGTCTTATTCCTTCGGGTTTACACTGGATATGGGGTATGTGGTTAGAGCTGTGAGTGGTGCAGTGCAAGCCATCCATGGTCCCTCTGTAGGCGCAGGCGTCCTGTGGCTTGCCACAGTGACAGGCAAATCCGAAACCGGATGCCGCCAACTATATATATATATATATATATATATATATATATATATATATTGCGGCATCCGTCTCGAGATTTTGCTGCCCTGCGGCCTTCATTGGGAAACCCACAGGACGCCTGCGCCTACGGAGAGAACGTGGGTGGCTTACGCTGCACCACCCACACACCCCGTATCCGGTGTAAAGCCGAATGAAAAAGACGGGGAGGCTTGTAAATGGTGCCGCGTTTCATCAACGAAGCCCGCCCACATTCCTTTAATAAGGCGAACAGAAGCCTTGCGTCCTACTTTGGAAATCCTGCACACCAGACGTACACAAGGCGGTGGTTGGCCCGTAGCGGTTCCACACAGGTTGCTTAGGACCACTCTTTGAGCTTTGCATCGTCACAAGGACGGCGCACACCGTCCCCCCCCCCCAACAACGACCAACTTTCTGTTGGAACGAACAATCGAGGTGGAGGGTATTTTACAGGTGGGTAGCTTATCAACATTCACAGCAGTCGCAGTCGCACCGGAGTGCTCAAACAACATCTACTTCTGAAATGTAAAAATAATCATAACGCAGGCAAACATACCACATACGCCGCCTTATTGACCTGGATTAGTACATCGAATGGGAGCGTACGTATCGTGCTTCTTTTCCGTGTGCAATAGTGCGTTCTCCTGCAGCACCTGGGCAACCGCCCTTTTGATCAGTCCACGGAATTCGCATCGATTAACTTTGCCTTGGATTCGCAACGCCTGATATCAACATTTGTTACTCATAAACACCTTCTTGATGTCCTGGTAATGTTCTTTTCGGTTTGCTGCATTGGCGCTTTCCTGCCCTTAGTTGGCAGAATTCATTCTGTATACATGGATAGTGCTCATGCGTGTCCAATGGCAGTTCGAATGGAACGTATGTGCATGCGTTTTTCCAGACTTAAGTATGAACTGTCACAAAC